AAAGAAGAGGAACAAGAAGGGGAGTGAGAATATAGCAGAGAAGGAAGAGGAGAAAGAGACAGAGTGAAAGTGGAAGAGAAGAAAATGCATAGAGGAAGACGAAAAATAAAGAAAGGAGAGAGCTGAATAGGAGACAGTGGGTTAGGGAGAGAGGGGAAAAGCAAGAGAAAAAGGTAGAGCAAAGAGAGAAGAAGGGAGGAGAAGTGAGGTAGAGGAAGGGAATGAGGGAAGAATCAGGAAGAGACAGAGGAAAGGAGGGAAAATGGGGAAGAAGAGACGAGAGAGTGAAAGGGATGATTAGAAAGAAGAGAAAGACAATAGAAAGAAGAAGCGAGGAAGAAGTAAAGAAGAGAGAAATGGAGAGAGAGAGGGACGGAACGAGAGAGAGAGAAAGAGAGAGAGAGAGAGAGAAACAGGCAGAGAGAGACGGAAAAGAAGAGAAAAATGTCTATCATTAGAACTAGTAATATTTAGGAAAAACAATATAAAAAAATATTGACAGTAATAATGATAATGATAATAATAATAAGAAAGAAGAATGATGAAAAAAATAATGATAATAACGAAGATAATTATAACTGATGTTGATAATGATAATGATGATGAATTATGAAAATGATAAAACTATAAAGATATGATAAAAAAACGCATAATAACGATAATCGTAATGACAGACATAAAGATAATAGCAACAATATTGATGATAATAATAACAATGGGTAATAATAATGATGATTATATTGATAACAATAATAAGGAATAATAATAATCACAATAACCACAATAAAAAATCATAATGATAGCAAAACAATACAATTATTTAAATAATAATATCATATACCAAGAGAAATAATAACAATAAAGACAAGACAGTAATAAAGATAATGAAAATATTAATAATGAAAAATAATGCATAAAATAACAATGACAATGATAATAATAACAATAAAAATAATAAAAATGATTATAATTATAACAGTAATAACAATAATAATAACATTTGTCATCATAATGATAATAATCCTTGTCATCATAATGATAATAATCCATGTCATCATAATGATCATCATTCTATTCATCATCATATTAATAATCGTCATCATCATCATAATAATGATAATAAATAAAACTCCCGAAAATGAAAGCCAAGGAAGACGCTAACAACGGTTCCGAACACGCGGTCAGCCTGGCTGCGCGCTCCTTGCGAGGGACGGCGCATGGGTCGAGGGACGCCACCAACTTTCGGGGAAACTTCAAGAGAAGGATTCGCTGCACAGCGACGCAGCGACAAGAGCCACGGAACAGGATTCGTGGAGCCGCAACGCCTTCAGTAGCGTCTCTCTCGCTCCTCGTCCTCCTCTGCCATTCTCTTCTTCCTCTCTCTCTCTCTCTCTCTACTTCTCTCTCTCTCTCTCTCTCTCTCTCTCTCTTTTAGCAATCTTGCCGACCAGCATTCGATCCCCCGCGCTGCCAGTGGATGGCAACCGGCCATTCCTTGGTTAGGTTAGATTAGGTTAGGTCACAGCAAAGATTATCCATTGTAACAATGGGAAGTAAACTAAACCTTTTCTATATCTCTGTATGTATGTATATGCACACACTCCCATATATATATATATATATATATATATATATATATATATATATATATGCACACAAATACATATATAAACATCTATATATACATATAGATAGCAAGATATGAGTATACTGTGTCTCCTCTTCCTTACTCTTTTTTTTTTTCTCCCTCTTTCTTTCTTGCTCCATCTCCCATCTCCCACTCTTTCCATTTGCTCTCTTCTCTCTGTGTCTCTCTTGTTCCTCCTTTTACACTCTCACTCTCCTCTTCCTTCCCATCTCTTATTACACCCCCTCTCTCCCTTCATCGTATTCTCTTTTCTTTTTCTTTTCCACCTTCTCCTCTCTCTATCTCTCTCTCCTTCTCCCTCTCTCTCTCTCTCACTTACTCACTCACTCACTCTCTCTCACGCACTCAGATCATTTGGCGATTTTGTCAAACATAATAAATCTCGAGATCAAATATGGCTCTGGGAAACTGACTAATTGGCAACCTCCCCAACAGCGCACGCTTTGACTGAGACAAAAATGACGTTCAAAGCACAGAATATAACAGCTCAAAACACTAGTTATCATAAACATCATCGGATGTGTGGAGAACAGTCGCGGGGTGCCCTCAATATGCAAAATACTGGCATGCAAACCACTTTTTCTCTCACTAAGAGCGCGGGACCATGGCGAAAGGTGCCAATGAGTCAATTTTCCGGAGAGACTATTTCCTCTCGAGACACTGCTTGGTTCCACGAATCGCAAAATGAAATGGAGAAGAAAAATCCATTTCGATTTGAACTGCTTGTGTGTCTCATGGGATGAGGAGGATCTTAATACTATTATGTTGAGAAAGCAATATTGATAATGATTATAATAATGATAATTGTAACAATAATAATAAGTGACAACAATGATAATACTAATAATTATT